TTGTCGAAGCCAGTTTTGGGTACTTCTAGAGCAAAACATGATATGGTCATTAGCATAACGTTCGTGGACAAACTGAACCAATTTGGAAAGGCAGTTATCAATATAGCTCTGACTGTTCAAAACTTTACCTCTCACTCTTCCCACAAAAGGCTGGGATACATGTGCCATTTTTTATTTCGTTTGAGCCACGCAACAAACACCACTATTCACTCACGCGTTACCGACTGACACATTGACTGAATACAACTGAATAAAATTGTAGTAAAAACATCGTGATAAGCGTTTTAAATTGTTTCGCTTTTTGTTTCCGATGCGATGAACCGATAAGGCGGATTATATACGTTGTTGCCAAACACGAGCACATAATAGATATTATTATTGAGACAGGGCGGTACTCAAACTTCTAAACGGCTATAACTTTGTTACTTTAATTTTACCAGAAAACTGTTAAAGGAAAAAAGCATTTCTTTTGATCAGATCTACTCACTGTTAAAATAAATGACTCAACTTCGACGTCACCCTGTATATATATATATATTAACATTTATTTAGTAACAATAACATCCAACAAAGACCATATACAAAAATTATAAATACACATAAATATATTCTGTGCAGCTGGTGATAAATGTTTTAATAATTTTCATCTTTTTCAAGTGTTCTGGCAGAATGTTATATATCTTTGGTCCTATATAGGTTATGTATCTTAAGTTTAGGTTATTGTTATTCTTGGGTATTTCTATTCGAATGCCCACATTTGCACGAGTACAATAGTTATGACTTACTTGTTTCTGTAGTTTTTCATTTCTATAAATAAAAGTAGATACTGTCATCACGTACAAGGAACTAATATTACACACATCCTTTGTAAAAAGTTGGTGGTAACTTGTAATTGAGATTTTATGAGATACTTGATTCTTCAGGTTACGAATGAGGTATATTATTTTTGATAAGTTATTTACAACACTATCAGCATGAACTCCCCAGGTCAAGGTTCTGTTATTAAACTCGACATCGGATTCGAAATCTACGCACCGCACCAGACTTACTTGGGTAACGGGTTTCCGTCTGGATCATAGACGGGCAAAAATTTTTAAATCGTTTTTAAATAGTATTCTTGAAGATATCTTGAAAGTGGAGTGTTTCCGGACTGAATAGGCCATGAATACCCTTTCAGGGACCCTTAAAATGAATTAAGCATGGTTGACCTCACATTCCTAAGTGACCCTTTTTGATCGTTTTGTAATATGGTCACAAAAAATCAAAATGCGCTGATACGTTGCAAATGACCTGGATCGCTAAAATCAAATGCAAAATCAACCTGCATATATCTGCATCCGTACATCATGCAGATCTATTTGGTGAAAAATAGCGTCAAGTAGATCCACTCTGTACTCCCCACGCTTCCGAAGTAGCTTTTAGTACAATTTTTTTATCTGGTGCAATGGCATCAACAGGACATAGGTTTTGTGTGGTGCACTATTTCGGCTTTTAATGAAAAAAGTTTCCTCAGGCTGCAGCAATGATCGTAGCCATGATTTGTTTGAAGTTCTGGCGTAAAGTTGTTTGTGAACAATGATTGATAAATTATAAATACCATCTGGATGATTTCGTTCAAAATTTGCAAGTACAAGGATATCCTTTGTTTTATGAATACGGCTCATTATCCTATCTTGCAAAAACGGCACCTGCATTAAGCAGCCCCGGTATAGATTATTGTTCCAGTTTCCTCAAGATCAACATTCCTTTCCCTTGTCGTTGTATTTCAGACCGAGAAAATTTCATTCATATGCTCATGTAGATCAATTCCCAGCGTGCCTATATTTCATTCATAATTCCAAAATACACGATCCCACTGCCATCTATGGATTTTAGCCTAACAACACTGTTGGTCCCTCAGTAGAAAACTACCCTAATAAGGAACCGATCAATACGACTCATACATGGGTGTATCCAGTAAAAAATTCTGTAGGAGTCACAAAAATATCGAGGGTTTCAAATTCGACGATCGTCATTGTGATCTCGGATGCGGTAAGAGATACGAGGTCGGTTGAATGAGGTCAAAGTATTGTAAAACCATAGTGATTTAAAACGATACCTGAATAGGCCTTGAAGTATGAAGTTTCAATTTTTGATTCATAACATCAGCCAAGTATCCCTTCATTTTCGAACGCTGGGAGTAGGTTTGCTATATAAGTCAAAATTGGGCAATGGTGTTTTATAGACGCGCCTCCAGATTCCATGTAAGATAAACTATAAAATAGTTTTATTTGAAAAGCTCTTGCCTAAAATATTCACTATCCGCATGGATGCGACACATTTCTGCAACGCCTTGTAGAGGTTACAATGGTGAACAAAATTAAAATAAATTTTTGTGACATGGACAAGACAAGGTGGTTATTATGTAAAACGTAACCAAAAAGCCGGTTCTCTCTAAACCATTGGTACCGCAAAGGGCATTTCACGATTGTCGCCTCTTAACCAACCTGTTAACAACATTACACAAGTCTTGGTCGCCAACCTTAATTCCAAAATAAAGTTCGTATGCTTTCAACACAAGGGGAGTAAAAGTACGTTTTTGGGATTTAACAGTTTGCTCAATTTCTAGGCATTGTCCATAAAGCTAGTCTCGATCACAATAAACTAAAAATAACACACCGTTTTAACAAAAATTAACAGTACTCAGAACATCTCAGTATTCTTCAACACAGAAAACGTAACTGACTAGACTGCCATTAGTCTCCTAATAAACGCACTATACTCTCTAAATATAGAGCTCGCATATAATAAACAGGAATAGACTGGTCTTAACATTATATATGTGCGTCATCGCATAAACGCCGAGAAATGCCGCAATATGAGATGTTACGTATTCTAATTCATAAAAGTAGATGTGATAGAGAAATTCTGTTTTTAGATTTGATTTAAGTCTCTCAAAATACATAAGACACACCCAAAACTTGTCATGTCACAAATCCTGTGTTTATCAGTGTTGTCAATTCAAAAGTAGGTAACCGCACGATTTAGATAGCCTTCAGTCTCACCCTAACCACAGTTCAATGACCTTTGGAGAGCTGATAACGTACCCGATCCCACTCCTTCTGGTGATTGCATTCCCCAATTCCAATTGAGATACCCACTTTGCCACTGGTACGCAGATTGGCGGTTTTCAATGCAGTTATTTTTTTATAATACCACCGGTCAATACTGCCTAATAGTGGGAGCGTACGCTGAAAATTTTCAAAAGGGTACGTCGAAAGAGCTGGCCAACGTGCAACTAGCACAACTTATATTATACAGGGTAAATATGAATGAAAGTTGTAAGGTGTAATACTTTAAACCTAATTTTTTTCAATCCTTGAGAAAAAAGAGTCAGAAAACGAGCTTTGAGCCATTTTTTTGTCTTTGTCCACGTCTCCGTCGCCACCAGACCGCTCCCAAAGCAATTTCTTCATTATTATTTGCGAAATTTTCACCAAAATCCGAGTGGTACATTTCTAATTATAGACGGGCCTGAAAAGTCGTCATCCCATCATAAAGTGTTAAGTTTAGCACAAGTTGAAACCTCTGAGAAAAAAAGTTACGAACATGCATAATAGACAAATTAAATGGATCAAGTCAGTCAAACAATGCATATTTTAACAATGGTGCTAAGGTCCGATCGTTAACGTTAATACCCTGCTATCGACTTTGCCTGTAATAAAACAGTTACTGAACGATCTCGCAATGCCAGAATGAATAGTTTAGTATATTTATTTTAGCTAAATGATTCCGTGAAATCAATAGTCGATAGTTTCAAATAAAGAAGTTCGCGCATGCCAGCTTTCGTGCTTCTAACACTGTATTGAAATTACATCAAAATAATGACCATAGTTGAAAGATTGGGAATGAAAATGTTTTTGTTGTGTTGCCAGTCGACGCTTAAATGAAAAATAGCAGATTTTTGTCGATACCGCGTTTTTTTGGGTATCCCTAACAATAAGCCATGTTTAAACTGCTTTAAAATGTTGCCTCTTACGTGTCTATACAGGGTGTTCCTTAATGATATGCGAATATTTAAGGGTGTGAATCTACATGAAGAATAAGTGTGAACATAAACTATGGTCCAAAAATGTTTCCTTACAAAAACTCGCTGTGTTGAAGTTTTAGGAAAAAAATGGAAATTATTTATTATTTTCAGAACCGCTTCGGATATTTCACTGATGTTTTTAGTACATAGTGAAAGTTAATAAAGTTGCATATTTTTCAATGCAAAAATAATTTTTAGCTTTAACAGTGGCGCGCGTACGGGTATTGACTTCGATTTTTTTAAGAAAAAAATAATAAAATAAAAATTATTTGTTTAATTTAAGACAAATGATCTCTCTTGAATTGTGTTCCATCGATGCGCCATTTTTGAGTAAAAAAATAAAAACCGTTCTATTGTCCGAGAAAATTAATGTAATAATTGAAGAATGCAATCTAATTGTTCTGGAATTTGTCACTGGCTTTTGACATCTGACAAGTCTCTGTTATTAAAATCTGTCCGCTGTAACATCTTTTTCATTACAGTCTTGTTAATAATGGTGAATTAATTAATTATCTTAATTAAGCACCAGTAAGAAATCTTTCAAGAAAGAACTTAAAAGTTATCTTTTGGAAAACTGTTTTTATAGTCTGTCCGAGTTTTTGTACTTTTTTAGTATTAGAATTTATTGTACAGAGATGTCTGACTATGGAAAGTGGATTGAATTGAAGTGCGAAGTTTCGTCCACCCCATTTCTAGCCCTTCCGGACGCTCATAGACTGGTGGGGGGTGAAAGCTCAAAGTGAGGGGTGAAAGTAATTGCATTCAGCATCAGCGAGCGGTATCGGCGAAAAACGGGATAGGAATAGGGATGTTTTCTACGACAATAGGCAGAAAATAGGATTCATCCCTCCAAAATTCAAATAAGCGCCACCCCGAGATAAGGGTCGCCCCCTCGTGGCAGGGCCAAGGGCGCAGACTCGCCGAATGACTCAATACAGACTGTAACAAGTACAAAGTACGCCACGTTTTTCCGAGCTAAATGTGGATATAGCATTTAATATCTTTTCGTAGGATTTTTACTAGTGCAACCATTTAAATAATAGTACAACATATATATCATTTTACAAATGAAAACCCATACACGCAAGTGAACGTTCCGACCAAACCCTATAAAAGTGTTCCCCAGTCGAATTTGCTTGATATTAAGTTCATACCGGTGTAAACATTAGTGAATCGGAGAATTTGTTTACAAATACTCAAGTAATCTACTGGAAGAAGCAGAGGGTAATGACTGAGCAGGATGTAGACGATGTAGCATTTCTCACTGGTGAGTATCATTCATTAAAAAAATGCTGACTGTCAACACCATTCAGTGCGGCAGACGCTGCAGTTTCATACTGACCCTGTTTTTGCATCCTCTCAAGATGCACTCATCTTTCTGTAACAATCCATAAATATGTCAGTGTGGTATAACCGATACAGCCATCTCTCATACAGGGTAAGCGAAAGCTTCGTTATTTTAATAGAACCTAGAAAAAATAGTTACACAAATTGTAGGCAGCTATACGCTTCTTACTTGGAAAATGCCCTTTTCTACAGGGCGATTCATAACTATGTTGGGATGCAAACATATTTTCCTTCAAATGTATATTCTAGGACGCGTTTTCAAAAACAGAAGTTTGGTGTGGCATACCATCTCTAATTACGGATCTATTATGGATATTTTGTTACAAAAAACACTTAGCTTTGACTGCTTGCAAGTCTTAGAGCAAACGTTTCGTCAGAATGACCCATAGTTTTGCGAAATTTATTATTTTTCAAATTTGATGCTTCGTTTATACAGGATGTTTGCAGAAGATACTTCTCCAAAAATGATCACCCTTGTACGATTTTGGGTTGTTCTCTTTATAAGCTTTATTTTGATATAAAGCTTTTGGTGAATTATATTACTAAGCTTTTAGTTATTGGCCGCTTTCGGAAATTACATTTCAAAACAAAATAAATTCCATATGACCCATGAAAAAAGATGACTTTTTATGGACGGAAGATAATTTTAACTGAGGCTTGTATCCACTGAAAATCACGTGGTATTTATTTAATTAGAATATACAGGGTGACTTTGAAGTTGAGTCATTAATTTTCAGGTAATGATTGTAGAAGGAAGATAAACCAAAATATGTGTGTAAAAATAAAAAAAAAATAAAAAAAAAATTTTTACCTTGTTTTATAAAGTATCCTCTTGATAAGTATTTCAGTGCGGACCTGTATTTGATCGTGAGGTCCCCTGTGAGGTCTTAAGTCACCTGATTCACGAGCCCGTTGTACTACATTAACAAAGGCACGAGGGGTTGGTTGCACTCGATTGGGAAACCGATCCGCATAAACATGTGCCATTTTTTATTTCGTTTGAGCCACGCAACAGACACCACTAATCACACGCGTTACCGACTGACACTGACTGTATGTATACAACTGAATAAAATAATTGTAAAAACATCGTTCCAAATTCTTTCGCTTTTTTGTTTCCGATGCGATGAACCGATAAGGCGGATTATATCCGTTGTTGCCAAACACGAGCACATGATATTATTATTGAGACAGGGCGGTACTCAAACTTCCAAAGGGCTATAACTTTGTTACTTTAATTTTACCAGAAAAATGGTAAAGGAAAAAAACATTTCTTTTGATCAGATCTACTCACTGTTAAAATAAATGACTCAACTTCGAAGTCACCCTGTATAAAGTAAGCAAACCCCCCAAGAATTGTATACCGAAATAAAGATTATGCAAAAATCAGTCAAATTCGTAAAATATACAGGGTGCTCCATTTTAATTTTTTAACAAAAATTACATTTTGTTTGTATGAACATCCTGCACACACGATGGATGCAACTTTAAAAACGTTAGAATGTCGAAAACTATCAAAATCATTTTGATATGAAGTTTTCTAGTGTAACTGCAAAAGTAATTTCGGATAAAATATACCGTAGCCTCATCCAAACCCATTCGGGTTTTGAAGAGACTATACAGGGTGTTCCATTTAAAAAATGCATGTTTATGTTGCTAGGTACTTATGTATCACCCTCTCTAGAGAGGCATGTTTTTTAAGTGAGCTGCTTATAATTTTTTAAATAACTTTTTCAGAAGTATCTTGCAATAATGACGCTAAAAACCTTTGCATAATAGTGAGAATGTGACGAAATTCCATCTAAATCCGATCAGTGTCGTTTTTAGAATTGTTACAATACTTCCTACCCAAATCGCGTTGGATTTAAAACGTACCCTTGTCTAATTTCGATGAAAGGGACTCAGCTTTGTATTACCTGAGATCAAGCCAAGGACATACTGACGAGTTGCCAATTAGCACAAAACATCTGTCGGTGGTCTAATGCACAAAAGCTATAACTCTAGTTTGTTCAATGGCGTGTAGACCGTATCTACTATAGCAGCAGATTGCAATTTTAAATGTCGTTCATTATTTACCTAAGTGGTATTTTATCATTATTTACTTTGGGAGAAGATACCAGCGATTTCTCACGTTAGTAGCGAAAAAAAAAAATGTTTCGTTCCAGGGACAAATCATAAGGCGTCTGCCCCACTGTCTCATTCAATATGCCAGTCCTCCCCGCTGATCCACAATCCTCGTGACCTAGCTGGAGGGATCGGGAACGAGAGTAACTCGGGCGCCAACAAAAAGAGCCTCTACGAGAGTCATGGCATAGCAGCGTGTTCCCACAAGAAGGCTCTATGCGTAGCCACCATTGTCTTCGCTCTACTATTTACTATAGCTATTATAATTGCCTTCACTGGATCTCAGAGTGGTGAGTAACGGCATTAATTAACATATTCCACCAGAGGACTCCATTGTCTTTCCGAATAAAAACTATACTAAGTGACATATAAATCCGAACACCCAGTTTAAATGGTTTTATTTTAATAAAATTTTGTATAAGTACTTAATGAAGCATAATAAGTAAATGATAAAAATTTCAAAATGATTGCACTGCTTTAAATTCCTTTGACCTTTAATAATGTGTGGATGCACCCTGATGTGCTACGCATTCTCCAACACGCCTAAGCATGCTTCTGATCAGGTGGTCAATGTCCTCCTGTGGTATCTCATTCCAGGCAACCACCAACTCCTCTCGAAGTGCTTCTAGAGTCTGAGGAGGACGTTGCAAATTGAGCAATCTCCTACCCATCATATCCCACACGTGCTCAATTGGGGATAAGTCGGGAGATCTTGGTGGCCATGGTAACAATGTGACATCATTATGTTGAAAGAAGTCTATTGTGACTCTTGCAACATGTGGTCGGGCATTATCTTGTTGGAAAGTTGGATCTGCCAGGGTGTCAAGATAGCGTAAAAGATGGGGTTCTAGAACTTCGTGGATATAACGCTGCACGTTCATGTTACCTCTGATCAAGATTAAAGGTGACCTGGAACCATAAGCTATAGCACCCCAAACAATAACTCCAACAGTGTGATGAACATGTCTTTCAACAAAAAACTGTGGATTCCTCCTTTCACCACGTCGCCTTCTAACCCTGGCATGACCATCGTGCATGCCTAAACAAAATCGAGACTCGTCACTAAAGACAATACTGTTCCATTCCTGATCCCAGAGTGACCGTTGTCTGCACCACTCAAGGCGATTACGTCGGTGTTCTCGAGTTAAAGGGAGGACCCAGTGTGGCCGGTATGAAAACAAGCCAAAACTTCTCATTCGTCGGTAAACACTTCGCATGCCAATAGGTCTTCCGTGTTCTGCAAACCATTCATTTGCAATGGACCTGGTAGTGTAGAAACGGTCCCTTAAGGTCAATAATCTTAGGCGGCGATCTTCACAGTCTGTTGTTCTACGGCGGCGTCCAGTGCCCCTTGCTTTTTGCGTACGGCCTTCTCGAAGCCATGCCTGACAACACCTAACCACAGTGTCTACACTTCTTTGCACTCTAACTGCAATTGCCCGAAAAGAAAGTCCAGCTTCCCGAAGTCCCACTATACGGCCCCTATCAAACTCACTAAGGGCACGTTTACATCGAGCGCGCTTCGCTTGGAGCTGTGCGCCTCACTTCATGTCAAGCGAACCTCTATGCGTTCGGGTTCATTCATATCGGAGGCGCTTCGCTTTTCATACCTCGACTGTTATTAAAACACACTTTATATTTAAAGACGCATTTTCCAAGCATTTCACCATGGCTCCTTCACGAGTTAAGAAGATATTACTACTCGAAAGTATTGCGTTGAAAGTGAATAGAAAAAAACTAAAACGATCGTGGGTGCATGAGATTAATATATGTAGGAAATCGTTCGGAGAATTCTATCACCTCTATCGAGATGCCAGAAAATATCCAGAAAAATTTTATGAATACTTGAGGATGTCAAAGGAATCTTTCGACCTTCTCCTAAGCCATTTGGATCCTTATTTATGTGGGATTGGAACCAATTTCCGTGAAAGGATTTCAGCAGAACAACGTTTGGTTATAACATTGAGGTAAGCCAAAATAAAATTATAGTGTTTATGAAAAACTGAGTTTTATTTTATTAAAAAATACATTTGTCCGAATAAAAATGTTACGCGTTATATCCTGAAAAAAAACTTCGCATAGGGGTGTCCAATTCACTACCTTCAGATACATTGTGTGTGGTCGGATCCGGATGTGTTGACTGTATCGGTATGTGATGATGGTATGTATGATTGTCCGAAGCGGAACTTGAGGGAGCGGGGAAGGTAAAGACACGTGCCGGAGGTTGTCCACAAACATTTTGTGAAACTTCACTTTCATGCTCCTCAACTTGCTGAAGAAGCAGTTCCTGAAACTTTAATCTTAGACGTAATCTTCTTGAAGCAGGAAGACTCTTCATGTATGGCAAAAGACTCTTTAGGAACAAAAGATCATCATCATTTTCTTTAAGTGATTCAGACTCTAGGAGCTCAAGTTTCCGTTTTTCTAACATTATTAGTTCGCTATTGTCGTTTTCTGTTGCCAGTTGCTTCTTTCGCTTCTGCGCCCCCTTCCGAGTTTCAGAAGTAGAAGATAATCGGCTTGCAGACCTTGAAGGTGCTTGACTGCTGGTCGATGGCGGTGACAAAACATTGTCAGAATCTTGCGACTCTACGTCCTGTATATCATTATATTCTAAGTCAATATCTTCTGTGACCCTTTCCGCTTCTATATTTGCATCCCTCAGTGGGGTTTGCAGATGGTCTTTTAAAAATAACAAAAGAGAATAATATTGCCAAGGACTTGCTACAGCTTCATTTGCTCCACTGCCTGATCTGGGTTTTTCTAACTTTTTTGTTTCTCTGTTAAAGTAGTCCCTCAAGTATTTCCATTTATTTTTAACAGTTTGAACTGAAACAAAAATTGCTATTAACACCAAGCATATTTTATGTATGTTTGTTGCAGATTTCTTGCTACTGGAGAATCCTATCGATCCCTAGCTCTACACTTCAGATTGGGGGTGGCAACAGTTTCAAATATTGTAAATCATACATGCATGGTAATATGGGATACCATGAAAAGTGATTACCTACCAAAACCTACACAAGCAACGTGGCACAATAAATCACAACAATATTGGACCAAATGGAATTTTCCAAATTGCATAGGCAGTATTGACGGCAAACATATTGAAGTTAAATGTCCCTCCAATACCGGATCTCTATACTATAATTATAAGCAATATTTTTCAATATTACTTCAAGCCCTAGTTGATGCTGACTGTAAATTAATTGCGGTTGATATTGGGAGTTTTGGACGCCAAAGCGATGGAGGAAATTTTAGGTCCTCGTCGCTTTTTCGAGCATTAGACAGAAAAGAGCTTGACGTCCCACCTGATCAATGCTTACCACAAACAAATATAAAAGCCCCATTGGTTATAGTAGGCGATGAAGCTTACCCTCTGCTTCCATACCTAATGAGGCCATATCCTAGAAGAAATTTAGATAATTCAAAAAGAATTTTTAATTATCGTCTCTCCAGAGCCCGGCGATGTGCTGAATGCGCATTTGGCATAATGAGTGGCAAATGGCGAATTTTACTAAAACCTATCGAAACAAAAATTGAGACAGCTATAAATATTGTAAAGGCCATTTGTATTTTGCACAATTTTGTTATAGAACAGGAGGGATTTAAGACAAATAAGGAATGTCAGACGGGCTTTAGCGGCGATATTAATCCGAGTACCTACACACACTCCCAGTATCGCTTTTCCGAAGATGCAAAGAGAACCAGAGAAATATTAACAAATTATTTTGTGACTACTGGTGCAGTTGAGTGGCAGAATCAATTTTCTTTCGTACAATAAATGTATTATATAGTATTATCTTTGAGTTTCTATTCCCTAATTATTTTGTTCTTTAACTACTCTGCCTTAAAAATTAAAACTGCTACTACCTCATACACACGATGGTTTATACAGATGACGTATCGCAAACCACTTATACATAGAATAAAAACACGAATACGCCCCTATACATGGAAACCAAAACCGATGCAAAAATACGGACAACAAAAAGAAGACATCGACACATTCTAAAAGTTGATATATTATATCCATCCCTAGTTAAAACATAATATGAACTCACCATCTTTTCCAACTTCGTCTCCTATTTCTTTCCACATTTTTTGTAACGCGTATACATTTTTATGCAACGCATGCTTCGGATTCCATATTGCCTCTCGTTTAAAAACGGCGGTGATAATTTCTTCTTCCATTGTGTTTATGCAGATAACCCTCGGAGTTGTCTGAACAAGCGAGGCAAAACGCAACGCAAAACCAACACATCGCGTTTTCCACCGCTCCGCATAGTATAACGTAAGGCACAGCGCGTAGCGCCATGCGCGCGGTCTGAACACATTCATTTAAAGCTGTGTTGTCGTTCCTCTCGCTTCCTACTGGGCTGTAAAGCAAAGCGCACAGCTCCAAGCGAAGCGCGTTTGATGTAAACGTGCACTAAGTTGACGAAATCGTACAGGTCTCCGTACTCTAGGCATCGTAACCGATCGTAAAGGATGTCAAGAACCAAAATCCGCCAACGTTGATTCTTTACTGCGGCTGAAATATTCATTTTCAGAGCGTTAGTGAATTAAAAAAAAAGCAGTATAAAAACCGGAATGTCCAACTGATAAGGCTGAACATTTTTTCACTTGTTATTTACAGTAAAATAAATACATTCACCAACTTTTATTAAAATAAAACCATTTAAACTGGGTGTTCGGGTTTATATGTCACTTAGTATATTTCGCAAACCAGGCGTATTTTCGTCTAATATGATTAGACTACAATATAAATTTCTTCTAGACTGCACGTGTGCATCTGGTAAATCTCTAATCTTAGACGAAGCACATAATGTGAACAAGACGTTTATACCAAGAGCGTCAAATGGACAAATCTTCCCATGGAACAACATTCGTCTTCCGCCATTTGTCAAACCTTTTAGGTATAACTTGACTATTCATCCAAACCTTACTACCTTAGAAGTCAAAAGTAAGTAGATAAGTAGACCAGTCTATCTTCATCTTAATTTGTTCACCTTATCTATTTCTCTTGGTTTACCTGCTTTTTGGTTCAACTGTTGTATTTGTGTATCGATTTTTGCAGGTCAAGTGTCCATAGAATTCCATGTAGACAAAGAAACTAACTTCATAGTCCTCCACAGCAAGAATTTGACCATCCTAGACAAGTTGATCCAAGATAAAAGGGGCAACAATCTGACTATTATGAAAGTGCTCGACTACCCTGGAGCTGATCAACTGTATATCGAAATTAAAGAAAAATTTAAGAAACGTGCTAACTATACCTTAAGAATTCGATATAATTTTAAGCTCAGGAAGAACAAGAAGGGATTTTATATCACTACCTATACGAACAAGGATGGATTTCAAAAGTACGTTTTTACTTTCTGTAATATACAGGATGTCTCAACTCAATATTTTCGTCTGATTGTTTCATGGTGTGTATAGAGATGAGTGGAAAATAATGTCAGTTCATTCTTTGACAAAAAATGCTTTTTTGCGCATTTTCCTTAAATCGTAACTCGTTAACAAACAATTGTAGTCTGATTTTATTGCTGCAAGTTGTTCAAGGGCGTATTTAAAACATGGACGTAAATAATGGATACACCAAATCATTTTGGATTTTCTTTTAGGTCTTTGGCTGCAACAAACTTCGAACCAACATATGCTCGAACTGCCTTCCCATGTTTCGATGAACCTCAATTTAAGGCTAGATTTAGAATTACTATTTTTAGAGACAGATTTCATATAACACTTTTTAATACTCCAATTACAAACACTGATGACCTTGGCTTTTATATGGGTACAGGCTTGGTGAGTATTGCTTTAATTTACACACCATCTCGTTTTTTATAGATCTTAACAGTTTATGGTACGCCTCGTTCGGCCACGATATAAACAGTATTCAAATATGTCTTTTGATACCTTCAGCACATAGTCAAAACGATTTAAATTTTACGCAGAACATGACCTCAGTAAAAGTTTTCTAGTTTTCGAGATATTGCCTCTTTTATGTAAGTTTTTGCTCCTTTTTTGCCTGTTATGGCTATAAAGGACTTCTAACTTCTGGGCTACCATTAATACTTGTTTGAGTTGCCGCTTTTTCTCCAAACATACACATTGCGATGTCTTTAGGTCTGATCAAATTTTCGGCCACTGCATAAGCTCGAAATGATGCTTCAAGAGCCATTTTACCATCTGCGTTGAAAGCCGACAGGGAAGAAGAAACACTACAATTCTTATTACCTTCCAAGTATCTTTAAATATTCAATAGGTTTATCCTTGTAATCCGGATGTCTGTCTCAAGGTGCCGACGAAGAAGCGATGGTTTTAAACTACTGTTGTCCATGACCTTCATTACAAATCGCACAAAGCGGTTTAGGTTCAGACCCCGATGAAATAAAAACCCATTTGCAAATAGTCTGTGTCGTATTTTCGTTTCTTTCTTTTTTTCCACCATGCTTGTCTATCTTCTCATTACTTTTATTCTGGCGAGAAGGTACCTCACTATATTTTTCAATATCGCCACCCTGTGCTGGACCCAAATCGGGAACTGAAGAAGAAGCAGTAGTTAATTGCTCATCTGGCTTCTGAGTTCACAAAATTGCCCGTTTCCAACCAACTATCCATCTTAAATTTACAGAATATTATTATATTTATTTAATTTCACGTTCGACATGCGTACGGCTCACGAAGCGCGTTCGACTGTGCTCGTACTTCCGTGACTGCGACCTTTTTATATTTGCAGAAGTTATTCTCGTTCTTCCCAGTGCATTCTCAGAAAGGCCTCGGTGCGCTCGATTCGCCGAAGTAGAACTCTTGCCGGATTGTTGTAGCGGCGGTGTTCCAATATTGAGGACAAATTCCGCCATTACCATAATTTTTTCGCGAACCCCCTTCATATAGCTCGCAAACCCCGCTTGAGAGACCCTGTACTGTACCGTACGTCGGGGACTACACGTCAAAGTACAGGCTTCGTCAGAAAGAACGCATGTTTTTCGAATGGGTACTACATCGAGTGGGCTGGTCCCGTGTCGGTGGGGAAGGGCGTGTTGGATAGTGGGAGAAGTGCCGTTTCAGTTGGCAAGACGGTTTGGAACGTTGAGCATCGTGCGTTCACTATACTTCTGAGTATTTTGATGTAATACAATATTTTTCCCGTACTTATTTTGACTGTACATTCAAAAAACATGCGTTCTTTCTGACGGACCCTGTAGTTAACGTGATAACTACCTCCAGATCCCTGGTGCGGATTTCTGCCGTAAATACAAGTGATGTGATCTTATATGTATACAGTGATACAACCTGAGCTTTACATTATGTATTTTTTTTAGCTGCGCGATGATTTCGTGGAATCTAAAGAAATGAGCACCTACTTGGTAGCCTTTGTAATTTGCGACTATCCCCAGATTGTTAGTAAAACTACGGAAAGTGGAGTACCAGTTTCAATATACTCTTCAGATAGATACAAAGCGCAAGCAAAGGTTGTACTGGATATATCTGTGCACATACTGAATTATTTTGAGAACTTTTTTGGAATGCATTATCCGCTGCAGAAACTAGGTGAGTAGTGAGTACCCCATCTCTTTCCAAGGTTTTTGCGAGGAAAATTCTGGTGGTCAAAAATTTGACCCCGTACGTCAAAGATATACGCCTTTGGCACAATGAAGCAGCCGCGCAAGCAGAAGCCTAAAGGCCAGAGCCCCACGATTTAGCAGAAAACACCTGTTAGTGACATTATTATTTATCTAGGTATTCTTTGTTATCATTATTTATCTAGGGAAAGGAAGGCCGCTTCTTGAAATTATTCGATTAATTTGGGACACAGACTGTACCACTCATCGAATGGCACGTTTAGTTTAGCTCCGAATGCGTTCTCCCTCTCTCGTGTGCGCAATCCCAGCAAACCCTCATATCTCCTCCTACACTTGACGAGCTGTGTCAGTCAACATTTTCCTGTATTTCTGGATGAGAGGTGCTTTCATTTATTTTCAAAAGCAAAATTTTGTTATAAAATCCGATAGCGAATATCGAATTTATTCAGATCTATACAATAACAAATACTAATTTTCAGATTTGGTGGCCCTGCCCAATTTTGAAGGCGGTGCCATGAAGAATTGGGGGCTGCTAACATTCAGGGAAACTGCCATTGTAAACTCCTCTAACGAAATATCAATCACTGCACACCAGAAGTTTGCGTCAATTCTAGCGCACAATTTAGCTTATCAAGTAAGTTTGATCAGTTGTGATAATGCGTCAGTTCAGCAATTTTTTGAATATTGTATTTTTGATAAGGGATTCGGCATCAACAACCCGAAAAAAAGAAAGATATAAATGAGGACTTGAAGTAAATAATGTGCTAAGTACCAAAATTATTATTGTGAGATAAGCAATATTTTTTATTCTACAATCAATATATTAAAAAATTCCCTGAAGATTAAACATAGTATTTTTCTATGTACTTAATATTTTCGGGAACTTTTTGTGAAAAATAGTAGAAAAAAAATTATAACCGTTACAAAATCATAGAATGTGCAAAATTATTAGACTAAGAGAAGTTGTTTGTTATAAAAATGAAATTCGACATTTTTAAGAACTGCTATAAAATTACTATTCTAAATAAAAAAAACGTTGTAATAATTTACTTTGTCAAGGCTAGTTAATTTTTAATCGACCATAAAAAGAAACTGTAACAACGTGGTAAACAATATCAAGCACTAAGTCAGAAAACAGCGTGGAAACTGCCGCATGTAGCACAAAAAACTATTAATAAAATATACAATAATAATTATGATATTGGTTGGTGTGGCTCAGCACTGTTGCCAGATGGTACCTTTATAAACTTGACGGCATTTTTTATGTTTTTAGTGGTTTGGAAACTTGGTGACGATGAAGTGGTGGAGTGACTTATGGTTGAATGAGGCATTTGTCACTCTACTAGGATATTACGGTGTTGATGACTATTATCCAGAATGGAAGATGATGGATCAATTTCTCATAGATAAGATTCAACCTGCACTTGCCTTAGATGCACTGAAAAGTAGCCATCCCATATCAGCGACTGTCATTGATCCGTCTGATATAGAAACTATTTTTGATACTATGTCTTTAAATAAGGTAAGCACAGCTTATTCCAGGCAAGATTTGTGGTTTCCAGTGAAACGATGTATATTTAAAAAAATGCTTTTGAAAAGAACATGTTTCCTTTTCGCCTCCTCCTGACTACTGGCGCACGATGTTTCGAGTCTTTTCATGGTAAAACCATGCCCATGGTTTGTTTTGTCGTACAAAAAAACCCTTGTATACCAATTTTCACTGTTATACATCAAATATTGTTCGAAATATTAAAAAAAACTATTTTAGAAAGTAAATTTAAACACCCTGTATTTTGGAAGCCACGCATTTTTCGACCCACGTTTATATAGACTTTATGCATTAATTTTAAAAGTTCTATCGAATCTTAAAGTTATGCAACAATAAACTGAAACACCCTGTATATTTTGAACACATACATAGGTAGGTATGAGAAGTGATCAGTCACCATCTCACAGTTCCTGCTTCAAATCTGCGTATCAAGGATCAAGGTACAGGCTTGACACCCTTTCTTATTCTTATATACTTAATCACTTGAGTGCTGGAGGCTCCCCACCACTACGACTACTACTACCGCCTCATAATGCACATTTTTTTAATATAATTATTACGAATCCCTTCATAATTTACTACTGTTACTTTATTTTTTTTTTTTCGTTATTTTGTGTCATTAATATATGTATGTATGTATTTTTCACTTTTCAACTCTATACACCTTTAGCCATATTTCACACATTATAATAATGATGATAATTTACCCGTACGTTTGCCTTGGAAACTTAGAATGCTGTATTGCCATTTTTTCAAAGCATACTGTATATCACGATTTCAAAACGGTACTTTTTTTAGGGAACTGCAATTTTACATATGGCAGTCAACTTTTTAGAATTAGAAACTGTACAAAGTAGTCTTAATGATTTCTTTAATACTTATAAGTATATGAATGCTGAAACCAAGGACCTCTGGAATACAATCACTAAGAACATTAATCGAACTCTTGATATAAGGGTAAGTGCTCAGTTTGAATGTATTAGACTGGACATATCAATCCTCCGTCTCTAGAACCTAATAACTCGGTTTTCGACTTTGGTGTATGTATTACCAGGAAAAAGTTCACCTTTCCAAGAACTATACGCTGTATAACGAAAGGTGATAACATAAAAATGCTGTTTATTGTGTAATATTTTCCAGACTATCATAGACACATGGACACATCAGATGGGGTTTCCGCTGGTTAGACTGAAGAGAGAAGGTTCCGAAGTAGTAGCTACACAGTCAAGATTCCTGCTGACCTCAGAGCCTGATCAATCTGAGAGAAACCTGACTATTTCTTTAACCACAACTACGACTCATAAGCCATTTCATCACCAAAAAGACTATAAGTGGTACATTCCCTTGACATATTATACGAACAACGATTCAGAGGTGAAAAGTGTATGGTTAAACATTACGGAAAGTAAGTTACTTTGTAAATAGTTCATACATTTACAACTTTTACAGTTAGTCTAAAGCCTCAGCGTGGACCTTAGGGATAACTACGAGAGCGTACAGGATGTTACGTTAACGTTTTTTTACTATTTTGATCAATTAATGGTAATTGGAATTTTTCTCTATTAATGATAGAGTACCCATTCTTAGACCAAACCCTTTTCAATGATTTCTTCTGGTAGATTTCATAGTTCATTGATTGTATAATTTTACACGTATTATATCTTTCTTTCTCAGCGATTCAGTATTGTGTTGGAAAAAAAATATCTGTGGTTTTTTTCCGTCACTTGGTTTCCTGTTGAATGCTCATTGAACCTTTGTCCATAAAGTTAGGTGTTTCTTGTCAGTCACCTTTGTCCTGAGATAGTGGTGTGAGCGCCATTTTGTTCAATCTCCAGATTCTGGGATATAAGATGCCGAACACCAGTTAGTGTTTAGTTGTTCTGGTTTAGGTGCTACCCCGTCCATTTTCTTATGGGATTTTGCTATTCAGCGTGCGAGGCATTGCGGAGAACCACTATACACTCCTCCAGCTTTGCTTGTAGCTGTTTTGCAGCTGGTATTGCCGGAAGTTACCCCTTCCGCTTACCAAAAAAAATCCTGATGTGAAACATATCAGCGAGACTGATTCTCCTGGCCCTATACTGTGATTTCAGCTGTAAAAAACAACATGAAAGAAAAATGATGCCTATGTTGGACGATTCGTTAATGAATTATCCAACTGATTTAATCCTATGTTTTCAGCACGTTTTGAACTGTCACCTGAAATAACTTGGATGAAAGCTAACATAAAGCAAGGTGGATTTTACAGAGTGATGTATGATAATGAGACCTGGGAGAACTTGATACAAACATTGAAAAATAATCACTCGATCTTCAGTGCTGCAGATAGAGCTAATTTGATAGATGATGCCTTCTCTCTTTGCAGGTAATTTTAATCAAGATTTTTTTATTTAACACATTTGATTAATATGAAACTTCACACACGTATCAAGGACCGATGACAGTGCAATAATTTGAAGAATTTCAAATATCTGCGAGAAACCATCGTCGCATTACCAACAAGTGCCAAAACCTGTAGTTTGCCTCGGTTTTCGGCCATATCTTCTTTGCTATTAGTCGGATCCTATTACGTATGGTCTCACTATTTAAGACCAGACTTTACAATTATTTTGCAAACCAGGGGTATTTTCGTCTAATACGATTAAAGTACTTGCTTGATCCAGTTTCTCAAAATGAACTGATACGGGAGCTTGCGACGATGAGTTAAAAAAAACTCAAAATACTTTTTATTGACTGAACTAACAAACTTCTATTGAAAAGAATTACAAAGTTGATTGTAGCAAAATCAAAGTGAATCTGAATAACAAAGCAAGTGTGTATGATAAGAACGGAAAAAGCTCTTCGAACCTATGCATTTCCAGTGGCGTAACTCGCGATATTTATTACAGAGCAGGTATCTTGAACGCCAGTGTGGCGTTAGACTTGTCGACCTATCTAATAAACGAAAAGGAATACGTGCCGTGGGCTTCGGCAATAGGACACTTCCGAGCATGGACTTACAGACTTTCAGAATCACTAGCATACAAATCACTCCTGAAGTATTTCAGACAGCTACTGACACCAATCACCAAATATCTTTCTTGGAGAAAGACGAAGACCCACATAGAACGGTAAGTTACAAATCTGCATCACCTAATGTTTAGTTTGTTCAATACCTCCAGAATCGCCAGCCTTTAGCGGTCAGTGATAGTCTCCAGGTCTCTTGTCAGAGAAGAAGTCGTCGCTATACTATAACTATCTAAAACTGTAATGACTCATCGATGTTCACGTGAACATCACTTAACTACCAGTAGTCGGCTGTTCATAGGCGGGGTATGAATGTTTAACATGGGTGAACTAGATGTGTCACATGCTTAATAAAGAGTGGTTTGAAACATATTGTAAGTCAAAAATTTGGGAATTACCTTTATTCATCGTCGCTTCCACTTACATCTGACAGTAATAAACTGTCGCTATCGCTTTCCTCGTTGAAATTGACTATAACTGGCTCTATGATGGTGTCGATGTGGTGGTCAAGCTGCCACATTTTTGTTTCTTCCTTCACAACATGACGGATAGCATTCTGCCAAGCTTCGGGCGTTACTAGCTGTATGGAAGTCTCAAGTAAAACCTTAACGTCTGGTAATTTGAAGGTTGTGTTATGGCGCGCAATATAACCCTTCACTTGAGCCCAGATGAGCTCTATTGGGTTCAGTTCACAGTGGTAGGGCGGTAACCGCAGCACAGTGACACCACATTGACGGGCCATCTCATCAGTCACGTAACTAATGTTCGCAGGTTTGTGCTGTTTAATTTTTTCATACAATTCCGCTTTCACACATGAATCGTCAAACGGGATTCCTTTTTCGCGCAACCATTGCTGCATGTCACTTTTTCGAGTACACGTTCGGCTCGACGACTATGAATTATCCATGACGATCACAGAGTTGGGCTCAACTCGCTCAAGCACCCCTTGAAACCAGCTCTCGAAGCAGCTGGCATTCATTTCGTCATGGTAATCACCTCCTTTCTCAGAGACGAAAATCAAGTCACACTCTTCTAAAAAGCCACTATCGCTACCAATATGAGTTACGATCAATCTTTGACCTTTCCCTGACGGTCCACGAAGACCTGTTGACAAACCTTCAATGCTTGCTTGTCGGTTACTCACTACGTTTTTGTCTATCCAGGTTTTTTTAACTGTGTGACCTGCATTTACCCATGTCTCGTCCAAATAATAAATTTTTCTGCTTTGTCGCCTATATTCAATCATTTCGCGTAGGTATTTTCGACGCCAGGCGACTATTTCAGGTCTCTCTATCAATACTGACTTCCGATTACGCGTTTCGTAACGAAAATTAATTTCGTGCAGGGATTTCCTCATTACCTCGACGCTCATTTGGGGTATAATTTCATTTTCCTTGATCGCTGCATGTACAGCCTTGAGGGTTGGTATCTCATTCCTAAAGAAGAATGAATGTACGGTTCGCCTTAACGCCATTTTGATATCGTCATCCAATTTAACGGCCTTTCGTCCCTTCAAATTAAACTTTGGATCAGTAGTAGCTCCAGTTTTCTTCTTTACATGCACCACCCTGCGAATGGTCCACTCTGGAACGCCTGTCATACTTTCACAATGCGCGAGTGCATCTCCCTGCGACATACATGTAGTTCTGTTCAGATAATTGAACACGTTGAGCACGATTTCTTTCGCGTCCCTCTTCAGTGCTTTACGAAGCCGTCTACTTGTTGCTTGGCTTTCAGTACTTCCACTCGTGCCATTTGTACTCTCCATGGTTAAGTATAACCAAAACTGTAACCACAGAAACCACAACAATAACAATCACACAACAATTCTTATAAGAACACACAGTATGCGATCGCTCAACGAAACACGTTCCAATGCGTTGCCGACGCCTATGAGTCTGCCGCCGGTCGAGGCGCGTCTTTGATTTCATTGGTTCTACCGGCGGAGATCAATCAGCCATTATTTCCATCTCTGTCTGTGCTGTTGACTACCGCAAAGCCACAGAAACGACATATGTCGTACGCTATACGGCTGTACTGGAAGGAAGCCGGGATCGAGCTCTGATCCGTGTTGATCACGCGTATGAGTCATTACAGTTTTAAATAGTTGTAGTATAGTCTTCTTTTTTCCAGCTCAGCGGCAGAGATCGGCTTGTCACTCTGATTTCCTGCATGTAGAGTGCTGTTATTAGCGAAGCCGTGGATTGGGTTGATCGTGCAGGAACGGAGGTCGTTGATATGTAAGAGGAACAGTGTCGGAGCCAAGATCGATCTCTGGGGAACACGCGCGTTGACGTTGTGGGATGGAGAGAAGAACTCGTCAATTACGATGGATAAAGTCAGCCACCCATCTGCAAAGATTTTCTGGGAGACCATAGGATCGAAGTTTGCTTAAGAGGGCAGCATGCCACAGCTGATCGAACGCTTTAGTGATGTCATGAGCCTCACCATAAGACTGGATGAGTTTGCTCCACAATTGCGTGATGTAAGCTAGGAGGTCCTCTGTGGATCGCTGGTGCCGGAAACCATACTGCCTGTCGCTAATCAAGCGGTGACGTTCGAGGTAGTCCAAAAGCTCTCCATCACCTTACTTATAACAGAAAGCAGAGCTAGATGCCTGTAGTTATAAGGGTCGGTCTTAGATCCTTTTTTGGGATAGGTTGGACATGAGCAATTTTTTTCTGGTAAGGTGCCGGATTCATAAGATATCTGGAAGACACGCGAAAGAACTGGGTAAGCTCCGCTGGACACCTCTTCAGTACAATGGCAGGAATCAAGTCCGAACCAGATGCTTTGTTGATGTCGAGCGACAAGAGCACTTGTCTTACGATTTCAGACTAATGAAAGTAGCAAGTTTAGACAGTTGACTGTAAATTTGGTAATGAATTTTCAGGTTATTGGAGGCCAAAGTGATGTCAGCTGCGATACTTTGCGATCTGAATGACACAATAGCCGCATCAAGGAATAGCTTCAAAGAGTGGATGATGAAAAACAAGTCAATTGATCCAAATTTGAAGGAAATAGTATATTCGTCCGGCATTAAATATGGTGGTATAAACGAGTGGACCTTCTGTTGGAACTTCTGCAAGAACGTTACGAATGCCGGAGAGAGAAATATGCTTTTGAAGGCACTGGGAACGGCGTCTGATCCTTGGCTTCTACAAAGGTAATATTTATTTCTCTGGGGATGTGACAGGAACCGCGTTGCCATTACCTCAAAGGATCAGGGTCCTGAAGTTGATCGCATTACACGCACTTTGAAAGACACGTTTGTTTCTTAAACAGAGAGTTATGGTGCTTTCATCTTCACTTTATCAATTGTAGGTATCTCATGGAAACTATAAATAAAGGCGTATTCCAGCCCGAAGAGGTTACATTGGTTCTAGAAGTGGTATCAGCAAACCCCGAAGGAAGACTGCTAGCATGGAGGCATTTGAAAGCCTATTGGTTGAAATTGTACTCGCTGTATGGTAACAAGACTGCATTTATGGGCAATCTCATTTCAGCTGTAACTGCACACCTGACAACGCCCTATGATTATTACGAGGTAATTTTTGTCTAGCTCAAGCATTAAAAAAAAGAGATGCAAAATCCTTTTAATATTTGAAAGTTTGACATTTTATCTATGTTGACAGGTAACAAAATATCACTTTTTAGGAAATTACTTTTCTCCCAGGGGAAAAATGAGAACTTTTTTCCCGAATATTGTATGAACGATTCAGCTGGCAATAATTTCCCTTTATTTTTGGCATAAAGGAGATATCGGAGTTTTCACGGATGTTGGCCATTGTTCTCGCTTTTTCTTTGAAAATTCCTAGAAAAAAACTAAGATGCGGAATCAAAAAAGCGCCACGCTATAGGGAACTGTCATCATTTAGGTATCGAACGAAGTCGATCTTGAATCGATATTTTGACAAACGGCGAAACGTCAGCTAACAGAGTCTTCGTACTACGCGAAAATCTACCATTTTTTCAGTTCGCTCGTAAAGCGCCGAGTTTCTAGTTTCTGAAACAGTATCGTTTTCCAATAAAACCTTTGGCGAACCCGGAAAAAAAAAACGAAAAACCGCGCCGACGTCGAAACGCCCCGATCCACGTGACACGAAAAACAAATGATCGCTGCTTGGTTGCTACGCTCAAAACTCTTATTGTTATTGTAACCTGTTCATCGCATGTCCTTTCGGTATACATTAGCGTGTATGTTTAGTTTTTGCTTCTAGCACTATCAGGTGGTTATCGAATACTCAGATAACCGCCAAAGGAGATGAAAGAAATAAACCGGCAATAAATTATACGCGAAAAAAGAGGGACGCTCTACATACGGACAGGTCGCAGGTCGAAGTTTGTCTTCTGTCTGCTCCCCTGATCGCTCATTGCCAACGGTCTGTTTAATAACTGGTCAAATACCGAACAGAGGTTGACAGATGAATTTTTCTATGGTAGGTCAAATATTTGGTATTCAATACACAAGCCAAAAAGGTAGGTTGCGCAAACAATAAATTAAAATCCACCAGTTCACACTAAGGTAGTGGTTCAATAAAAATTAATTTTCTTTCTTCTCCAACACGATTGCTTTCCAAAACATCCAAACAATAACTTATTGATATCCACTAAACGTAGGTTAGGTTAGGTTAGGTTTCTTGTGAGTTCATCAATAGCGATCCTCCACTGCGACTCTTTGGTCTATTGTGGCTCACACCTATTTATATTTCCCCCAGTAGCTCGGACCTCCTGAGGAAGTCGATCAGCTTGTTTGGAGAAATATCCTTCAGGTCTTCTGCTTCTGCTGTTGTACTTGATTCTGGCAATTGCAGAGCATCTGCACAATACCTACCTCAGTCTTGGAGCCATCTGTGTATGCATAGATATCTTTCCTTATCTGGACAACTTGCAGTTCCCACTCATTCCTGTGTGGAATTGTCACTAGGAGGTTTAGCATACCTTGTTGTCCTTGGCATTATATCAGAAGGCATTCCCAGACTGGGGCGGTTTTGTAAGTTCACCAGCATGTCCGTCTCCTACATATACCATTTGCCACAAGATGTAGTCTTTAAGATGTCCTTCTTGCCACGCCTTCCAGTTATATGTGCAAGGGGGGTTAATTAAGAAGGGCCTCCATAGCTACAGTTGGTGTGGTACGAAAGTGACCAACATACAAGCTTCTCTCTGTATTGCGCTCAGTTTGGCTTGGACAGATCTTTGTGCTGCTTTGCCCCACCAAGCTACAGATCCATAGGTTATCATAGGTCTAATGACCATGGTAGAAAGCCAAAACATTTGTTTGAGCTTCATTCCCCAGTTCTTTCCACAGACCCATCGGCAGTTCCATAGCGAGATCTTTGCCTTCTTAAGGACTGCTTCCAGATGCGAATTATAGTTTAGTGTTTTATCTAAGATTATCTCTAGACATTTCGTCACTAAACGTAAGGGTTAAATAGAAAAATATGACTTTTTTCTAGTTACTGTCAATTTGTTTGTGAGCCAAAAACACAAAATACAGGGTGTCCGCAAAGTTGGGGTTTTCCTTTACACGACGTGTAGATCTTGAAAACATAAGCAATTTTTCTTAGTACCATATACACCAATGTCTTAATGGAACCGAGATAAAGGGCTCTGTAACATCAAAAATATCTGAATACCGTCCTGTAGCCGCGACGTCACCGACTGGTACAAGGTCACTGACTCAACCCGACGACAGAACTGGGTCGGGGTCAGTGTGTCAGGTCAGTATGCAACCTTCAACCGACGGTTACGGTCACGCGTGTAGAGGTAATCGCGTAGACGAGAATCCCTCAACAAGCACTAGAGATGTGGCTAGAGAAGTGCAAGTATCAAAAACTAAAGTGTGGCAAACGGTGCGTGAAGAGGGGCTGTATCCGTTTCACGTCCAACGTGTACAAGCCCTTCAACCTGACGATTTTCCAGCAAGAGTGCGGTTTTGTGAGTGGTTGTTGCATGAACATGACAATAATCCGGACTTTTTGAAGTGCATATTGGTGACAGACGAATCTACGTTCACGCGTAATGGGGTGAATAACTTTCGCAACGCTCATGTTTGGTCAGTAGAAAATCCGCACGCTTTCCGTCGGGCACATTTTCATCAAACATTTTCGGTGAATGTTTGGGCTGGCATGGTGAACGGTATGCTCATTGGACCATTTATTCTCCCAAATCGATTGGACGGGATGCAATACCTAGACTTTTTACGCAACATTTTGCCTTCCTTGTTAGAAGATGTGCCATTAAGTGTAAGACAATCAATGTGGTTTCTGCACGATGGTCATATTTGTTACCTCTGTTCATGGTCTGCACCACCGCCGGCGTCTGCTCGGTAGCGCATCAGCTGATTTCATTTTCTGTTGGAGCGGTATGATTTCGGGCAGAGACGTACTTAGCCCTTCTCGTCAACTGGAGAGTGAGTGCTTTTTCCTTTATTTTTTTTTTTACTTGGTCGCCCTCGTTTCATTACACATTACCTTTGTTATTTCAAGGGTAGATGTTTCTGAAAAGGAAAACCCCAACTTTGCGGACACCCTGTATAGCTTTTTCTTTTGAGGTGCCGCCCCCCTCCCTAAGCGCAACAGCTCATTTATATTTAATGAAAATTTTCTGAATAATGGAGATTTAATATTTATTGGATATTATAAAAGAAATATTGTATTTAAAATATTTAAAAGGTATTGAATTAATATTCAAACATTATATTCCAAATATTTATTAAATATTTGTTTAAGAAAACAAATATTTGAGTCAGGTAAAAATATTATTAACTATTGAATAGATATTTAATGAATATTTCGTGATTCAGGGGTAGTTACCCAGAGAAAGATAAATTTTAGCTAAATAAAAACCTGTCGAAATGTTTATCACAGAATCTCATTATTTCAGGTGTCAACGTACTTTAGTGGAATGGACGTCGGCCTATCCACCAGAACCTTAGATCAGAGTCTAGAAATAATCAAGCTGAACATAAACTGGATAAAGCAAAACGAGGAAGAAGTAAATACGTGGTTACGGAAAAATATAAAATGAACTCCTTCCTTAATAGTATTTAATTTGTATTTAAAAATTTTTTTAGTCCATGTCTGTATTATATTTTTTTAACCGGTGGTCCAAACTATGTAAAATCGTTTTTTTCTGTACAATTAAAAAAAAATAAACTGGTGAAGCTCCAATAGTTTGTTTTCATTGAGTCTTATTTGGAAGTGGAAAAAAAACTCGCTCCAGAATCACACAAAATTTACCCAAATAACAAGGTTTTGTTGAGGTTACAGTTATACTAGTATTTTCGAAAATATTCCTCAACATATTCTAATCATTGTTCATTTTTTTATAAACCTTCCTTTCGGGTTTTAGAAATTTCTAGTCCTTTTGGAAAGTAGTCAAAATAAAGGCTCTGTTTTAGAAGCACTTAGTTCTATCAGTCTCAGTCCAGAGTTTTTTAATTAGTTGATTTTTCTGAAAGCTCGTAGTATATACTCATGGAAGATGGAAGATATTTTCAAAATTCGTACGCGTGTTATGACAGGACATAAGAACTATCTACAACATTTGACCAACAAATAAAACTATGGGTGATAGAATAATTAACGATATTGTGGCTTTTCCAAAGTACAAAATTGAAAATTTGAAACAATGCTTGAAATTACTGTCCCAGGTTTCATTCTAATTCCTGGTTTCAATTGTTTGTAACGCCAAGGGACCAGGTTGAAAATATCTATTTTTGGGGCTAAATTAAAGTTCAAACAGAAACAAGAACGAGATTATTTTTAGTTTTTTTTTCATTCAACATCGATGTTACACACTTAATATGATATAATAAATTCATACATATGATACATTTAAATACATCCATTTGATTTGAAAAAGCTCGTGTGTTGTTTTCCGTTTATACAGAGTGTTTTCCAAACATACAGCAAAAATTCGAGGATTATTCCTTTTTAACACGCTTTTATTGAAAAATAGATAATAGTTGAAAAAACTAAAAAAAAGTAGAAAATAACTTTTAATTACAAAGAGTTTATATTACAGTAGTAGATGGTCCAGCAATCATTCATAATTGATTACCTCAAAAAAAAATTATAGAAAAATTCAAATCACCGTAACATTGTTTAGGACAGTCGATGAAAAATTCTTGAAATTTTGCCCTGTTTTTAGATAACACTCTGCGAGTTCCTATCATGGAACGAATTGCATAGATAATCGTGAGTACAATATGAAAAACTATAGGCTATTACAAACCAGTTATGTTGATAGTAGACCCTCTTGAAGTGACTAAAAAATTGAAAAGTAGATGGTTAGACACCATAGCAATAGACGAAATTGAATTTCATAGATAATGACAATTTGCAATAGCCTATACAAATTTTATTTAAAATTCTTACATATATTTGAGTACCATTGGACCCAACAGATACTCTGTGTGATTGCTCCTCTTCACAATCGGCGATTACAAACGATTACGCGCGATCACGATCGTGTAGAGGGCATACTCGGCTGTACTCGCCGATCATCGTCTATGATCGCCTTCGACCCGTGTTTTTCGGACACCCATCAAAGGAATCGCCGGGTCATATTGATGCTTGCCGTTTGACAAACTACTACGAACGCTCGTGTGGATGCTTGCACGATGATCGTGCCTATTATGAACGATCACACGATCAACGATCATCGCCGATAGTGAAGTGCAGGCATAACAAACATACACTGACACGCAAAATTAACCGGACAAACAAAATTATGTTCAAGTTAAATTTTGAATAACTATGGCTATGATTCGCATGATTTTCTTCAAAACAGCATATATTCTTCACAAATTGAGATATTGACATTAATCAGAAATAGAACTGTTGAGAAAAGTTGAGTCTTAAAATTCTCATACGAAGACACATTATTCAGTAATCCATTGTTTTCACAGGGTGTTTTAGGGCAAAATGCTCCTTTTAGTTACACCCTGCACAACAACAAACATTTTCAGATTTTTTGACGAAAAAATTAACGAAATTGATGGAAAGGTTAAACAGTTATTTAAAATTTAATTTGAACAAAATTTCGTTTGTGCTGTTAATTGTGTGTGGCAGTGTATATTACTCGTAGATAGACGCCAACTCATATCTTGCATTGGTTTCCAAAAATCGCCCTATGACTTTTCATTAATCATTTTCTCTGTCTCTTCATTACCTTGCTGAACTTTTAATCCGTTAAGCCTAATATCATCCAGGAAGCTAATAAAGAGACTAGGCTGTTAACGGAACGGCTAATTAAACTAGTTGTGACACATAGCGTGCTGGTCAAAGTCATTTTCCACAAGTACGAGAGAAAGAGACGGAAGCGAGGTAACCATGTTAGAAAGAGTGCGCCATATACAGGGTGACTTTGAAGTTGAGTCATTAATTTTCAGATAATGATTGTAGAAGGAAGATAAACCAAAATATGTGTGTAAAAATAAAAAAAAATTAAAAAAAATGTTTACCTTGTTTTATAATGTATTTCAGTGCGGACCTGTATTTGATCGTGAGGTCTTGGAGCACCGGCATGCCCTCCCCTGTGAGGTCTTAAGTCACCTGATTCACGAGCCCGTTGTACTACATTAACAAAGGCACGAGGGGTTGGTTGCACTCGATTGGGAAACCGATATGTGCCATTTTTTATTTCGTTTGAGCCACGCAGCAAACACCACTATTCACTCACGCGTTACCGACTGACACATTGACTGAATAAAAACATCGTGATCAGCGTTTCAAATTCTTTCGCTTTTTTGTTTCCGATGCGATGAACCGATAAGGCTGAGTATATCCGTTGTTGCCAAACACGAGCACATAATATTATTATTGAGACAGGGCGGTACTCAAACTTCTAAAGGGCTATAACTTTGTTACTTTAATTTTACCAGAAAAATGTTAAAGGAAAAAAACATTTCTTTTGATCAGATCTACTCACTGTTAAAATAAATGACTCAACTTCGAAGCTGCGATACTGAGGAAGGGCGCAGAGCGCCGCTGTGACTCCTCCGCCACTGTCGTGGGAAGGCAACGCTTATATGGCGTACTATTTCTAACATACGTGTTGCTTGGCGTCTCTCCCTCCCTCATATACATTGAAATCTAAAAGGAAATACGACATTGGCCGGCACTGTATATGACAAAAATAAGTACTAGGCTGGTTAGGCCACTGATAGTCGATAGACGGTATGATAATGGGAAATCCACAAGGCCAATCATTTATACAACTTCATTACCAGCTTTTGAGCATGGAAGAAGTATAATCACTTTTTTCTAGTTAAAAAAATACTGAGTTCAAACATTCCAATTTTTGGCACAACATAACGTCTGCCAGTTTTATAAGTATCTATACTGTGCAGAACATCCAAATCTATGTAAGAAATGTGTTGCACGACATCTTACAGACATTTATTTTATATTTACATAAAAGGCAGGTTAATAGTTTAGACATTGACAGTGTAAAATGTTTTAGTTATAAGTGGGTTGATTCCCTTCCTAGCCAAAATAAGGTGGGTGGACCATGCGACCAAGGAAGGCCACGGTAACAAATAAACAGTTAACCCCCCCCCCCGGGAAAAATGCCTGCGACCGCCCATGCTTAAAACTACAATAAAGGGTCCTTAGTTACAATAATATATTCTCATAAAAATTCCTCAGTGAACATTTCATCAACGCTGTCGTAAAACTTAGAATGCATTCGTAAAAACGATTTAAAAATAACTTTAATGAGCTTTATATCGATATCAAATAAGTTGCCAATAATCTTTATGGTTGCGATTAAAGAAAAGGCCAAAATGTTCCAGATGGCGTTCACGTTTAGAACTGAAAAAATTAAATAAAATAATAGTTAATTTTCTCTAATTCAAAATTTTAACGTCCATTGTCAACAAATAAACAGATTTGTTATCGCATGGCAATAACTGCGGCTTTTTAATAATTGGCCTTCCACGGTCCACCTACCTTATTATTTAGTGGCAATATAGAATCTTTTCTTTTTGTTTTTGTGTAAATCTTCTAATTGGGCAGTATAAATTCGGAAAAGATTCTATCACATTTTCTGTTTTGGTTTGAACAAGCACAGTGGACAGTGGTAGATAACACACATAACAGATTGGGGAATGTACGTTGCATTTTTCTCCATTTAGCTATTTCGCTGTAAAGAAAAATACTTCAATATTAGAAATATACCGACTCTGAACATTTTTCACAGGCTCTGGTTCATTACGTTGAGAGTTTTTTCGGAATTTTATGATATTTTTAACTTATGAATCTATTGATGACTTTGAGGCTCACTGTTCAACAACAAATGTTAAGAGCCGGGATATTGATTACTTTGCACAAGTTTCATACAATTTTCTGCTGGCGAATTTCCAGGATTCAGGTCAGTGTTATTACGAAATATATTTTAGGCTTAAGATATAGGTATTTCTGAGGGAGCATCATATTTATTTTTCTTAAAAATATCGGAGATAAAATGGAAACTATTCTGATCCTATACCTATACAAGTCGTGACCAAGAAATGGAACATCATATACAGAACCGCGTTTTAAGGGGGTCTTCAATGTAACATTTTTCCCTCAAGGGCTTCACTAAAAAAATTCATTAAATTGAAGTTTAAAAATAAAAAACAATTTTCTTTAATATCCGGAATAAACTAAAATTTGGCATGTGCATTTACCTAAGTATTGTCCACATTCAGAAGTCTTTACTGAAAATAAACGTACACCAGTGGCGGAGAAACAGGGGATTAGTGTAATTGTTTTTCCAAATAAAAACAGTACGCCACTGGTTTTTCTGGAAACGCGCAATGTTTCGCGGGTTAGGTTGGCGTCTGTTACAGAGCCCGAACACAAAAATAATATCGGCGTACGCATCATTGCTAAATTCCATTTCACAACACACAAAAACGGAAAAAATAAACTTTTGACTTGACTTTTACAAAAGAAAAAAATGGTAGTAGTAACGATAACAACCGTATAACACAACTTTGACAAACCATATCTCAAGAAACGTCACGTTGGTATCAAGGCCTCCTATTTTATTTTGAAACGAATTGTATCTCGGCTCTTCATGAACGATCTAATTTGTTTTATTTTTATTTTTACGAAAACAGTGCACTCTAAAAAACAGTGGCGTACCATTTTTATTAGAAAAAATAATCTTC